TCCAGTTCCTAAAGCAGAAGCACGCTGGGTATTTACCCTGTGCCAACCATCTGAACAACAGAGAAAACCCACCCCTTATGCCTCATAAAGAGAAGCGGGGCAACACATGGGGTTTTCCCACTCGTCACAAATGATGGCTGTTTGTGCTAGTTAACCTTTTCCAAGCCTGGGTCAGCTCCTGCTGGGAGGCGGGGGTGATCCGGAGAGAGTGAAAGCCTGGCAGACCCCAAAGTCTCCAGCATGCCTTGGCCCCCAACACACGCCACCGCCTTTGCAGAATACCAAACGACCCCGCATCACGCTCTTCATAAGTCAGTCAGGCTCCATGTGCTGGTGACAGTTTGGATTCCAGGGAACTGCCTCCAGGAACACTCTGCAAACACTTCCTGATAACTTTTATTTCTTGGCATGGCTTACCTTCTGTTTTCAGAGCAATCTCTGAAAGAGGATGAAATTGACATTTTCCCATCCTGGGCTTTATTATTTTCAGCATCTCCACTAGCTTGTGTAAAGAGAAGACTTCTTTGTACTTTCAAAGCCTAAAGTCTAGTCAGTAACACACATTTCAATAACTTGTGCCTTCAGCATATTGCTTCCTAGTTTTAAATCAAAACTAAGACAGAGCCTTTGTAAGCAATGCATCCCTAACACCCATTCTCCGGGTCTCTGGGAGAATTTGGACAGTGTCAGAGAGGTAATGCTATCTGAGGAAGTATGAAGAAGAGGGGTGACTACAGGGAGATTTTGGAAATCATTTTTCAAGGTAGGGGGTGGGGACAGAAGTTTAAAAATGATGAGAATTCAATGCCAAAGTGAGGAGTTGGTTTTGTCTCACCACTGAAATAGCCAAACACCTTAAAAGGAATCAGATTTCTGCAAATTGCAGGTTGAAATGATCAGTGGAAATTCATTTACTACAGCTGCCAGGGTTCTGAAAAGCAGAACCCATGCCCTCTCCTGCACTCCAGAGAAACCTGAACTGTCTGTCGACCTCAAATTCTCAAATCCCCCATGCCTGACTATCTCCTGCCACCAGCCCAGACCTGTGGATTATTGTGCTAAGTTAGCACCATCTGTTTATAAGGCGGTATTGTTCAGAATGGCATGTTTGGGCCGAACCCGTGGCTCACTCGGTAGCGTGTGGCGCTGGGAGCGCCGAGGCTGCAGGTTCGGATCCTATATAGGCATGGCTGGTGCGCTCACTGGCTGAGCGCGGTGCGGGCGACACCACACCAAGGGTTGCGATCCCCTTACCGGACACACACACACACACACACACACACACACACACACACACACACACACACACACTGGCATGTTTACGTGGCAACGAATATCCTGAGAACGGAGGATGAGCTGAGGCACTGTTGAAATAGTTCATTAGCTGCAAAAGCAGTTAGCTCTGAGCGGCTCCAGCACGGAACCACGACAGCATTTACTTGAATAGATAAGCAAAATCTGACATTTCAGGTATTACATTCAAAAGAAATCCACCTCTGAGTTATATCCTTGTTTATGAAAAGAAATCCCATGGGCTCCACTAGAACTTATTATCTGTGGCTATTCATAGTGGTAAAGAAAAGAGTAAAATTGGTGAACGCGAAGGTTGAGATCTCGTGCTCTTTTCATCGGGATGACGAGACCAGATGCTTGTAAGGGAATAGGAATCATCTCTATTTTTAGGTCACGTCTGTCATGGAAGCTCTCAGGTACTTGGAGGATAGGCATTTGTTGGTTTTCATAAGACCATGGCATAAAATATGAAATTCAGTTGCCATTGGTTCTTTTTATTTTAAGGTTCAAACTTTCATACTCCTTTGGAAACATCAAATGGTAAAAAGAATGTGGGTTTGGGGGGGCAAGAAAGTTTGAATCTTGCTGTACTGCTCGCTGGCTGGTGACTTTGAACACGCTCTTAACTTCTCCGAGCCTCGATTTCCTCATTTCCAAAATAAGGGCTGATAATAACTGTTCCAAACAGTCATTAGAGGATTAAATACATGAATGTCTATTAAAATATGCAGGGTAGTATTTGGCACAAAGTAGGCAAATGAGTTTAGTTTTTCCCTGCATGTAGATAGTCTCTTTAATGTTGATTGATAGCTCAAATAATACTCTTAGGCTGTATGACACTGGTTGGCACTAATTTTATTTTGTCTCTTGCTTTTTCCAGTCTGCTGCCCCTCCCGCCACCATCTATGTCTTCTCCTCCTGGCTTCTTACACAAACAGTATAACATGTGGCTTTGTGTTTGGCACTTACTAAATGTTCCATTTCTTCTGCCATTCATTCATTCATTCAGTGAAATCTGTTATGTGCCTACAATACACCAGTGTTGCAAAAGAAATATATATAAAATTTGTGTCCTTTGGAGCTCGTAATTTGATTGGGGGTAGACAGATGTCTTCAAGAGTCTGAATGGCTGTTGTAAGAATTAGGAGTAACTAGCAGTGCAAGGGCCATGTGTTACTCAACCCACTGTCTAACCCAGAGCTCAGTCCTTCACTGAATAAATTAAAAAGTTAAAGAACACAGATGATATTTGCTTAGTAAGTAGAAGTAGGACCAGCTGGTAACAAATGCAGGAAGCTGGATTTCAGATCAGCACAAACAGTTCTCCCTTGAGGAGGAGTGAAATCATAGTCATGGGTGGTGTTCAAGTTCCGGGCCCTTGAGAGACATGGGGAGAAGCTGGAAGCCACTGGGAGTTTATGGTCCTTTCTGAGACACGTGCATAGTGTGTATTTGTGGGCGTGGAATGGTGACTTTATCAATCGCAATGCTTTCTGCAGCAAGGAAGAAAATACCATATTCACAAACAATAAGAGGATTTATTACTCATCAACAAGATGTCAGAAAGCTGGTTTATGCAGAAGCTTTCTGATGTTGGCAAGGACCCAGTCTCTTTCCATCTTGTCACCTTGTGGTCCTCAGCATATTCTCCTTGGGGTAGCCCCCTCATGCTCACACGATGGCTGCCACAGCTCCAGCTCTCAAGTGCAGACATGCTTATGTCCAGCAGCAAAAGAGAGACTTATTCCTTCCTGAATATTTTTTTGTTAGGAAATCTTTCTCAGAAGCCTTTCAGGAAAATTTCCCTCCTGTCTCATCCCCCAAATTGTAACATATAACAGATTTAACCAATCACTGACAAGAAGAACAGGGCTGGCATACAGACCGTGGGAATTCAGCTGGGGTTCTCTGAGTATGGAAGAAGACAAGTGGCTACTGTCAGGTAGGCACCAACGATGTCAAGGACAGGCAGTCTGATCCAGTGAAGAAAGCCTGGGTTTGGATTCTGCTCTACTATTTGACAGGTCTGTGACCTTGTCTGTATTAGTCTGCTCAGGCTGCCAAAACAAAATATGGGCAGCTTAAACAACAGCAATTTATCTCTCACAGTTCTGGATGATAGACATCCCAAATTGAGGTGCCACCTGCATTGGTTCCTGGTGAGGGCTCTTTTCCTGGCTTGTAGATGGCCACCTTATCCCTGTGTCATCACATGTTCTTTCTTTTGTGTACGTGGAGAGAGCAAGAGGGTGAGGATTGAACTCTTTAGTGTCTCTTCTTCTAAGAACACTAATCCTATCAAATCAGAGCCCCACACTTACGAGCTATTTTAAACTTAATGACATTCTTATTCTAAATACAGTCACCCTGGGGTTAGGGCTTCAACATATAAATTTGGGGGACACAATTCAGTCCATAGCATTGGGTAAATTACTTAACCTTTTTAGGCCTCTCTTACCTACCTCTGCAAATGGGACAAATCATATACACCTCCTAGTATATAGTATATATATAGTCTCCTAGTATAGGGAGATGCAATGAAATGGCATATGTGATCAAACTTGTCCAAAAGCCTTTAGTTATGTTATGTGACATTTTGTTCTTCTCACTCTATCAACTAAAACCAGAGAACTCATGCAATGGTAGAAGCTTCCAAAAATTACATGGCTTTTGAGAGCATATATTGATTATAAGAACTGGGTATGTTTTTTGACAACCGGAGTAGCTTAAGTATGCTTAGAAAAAGCAAACAGTGCTTTATTCTGCCCAAAGATTGATAACATTTCTTCTCAAAGGTAGCCTGTTTATTTTGTTACAAGAATATTATTATGGATTCTCTATCATTCTTCGTTGAGGACTAAAGAATGCAAAATGGAAAGCTTTGCATAGTTGAAATATATAACACATGGGTTGCCCAGTTTCTTGCAACTAGCATAGTTGGTAAAGAGGGCACCTTCTGAAGGCAGACTGCCTCTTATTGGCTGTGCAATATTGAAAAAATTGACTGCTAGATGTTTCGGTTTCCTCATTTGTGAAGGGGTAGTGATAATATTTTAAATATAATAATATTAACAATAATATTTTACCTCTTGGGGTTGCTACTGTTAATTATAATAATAATAATAATGATAGCAATGCTATCTTTCCTCATGGGGTTGCTGTGAAGATAAACTGAATTAATATACATAAAGTGCATAGAGCATCACCACATCATCTATAAAAGACACTGAGGTACAGCCTGCAGCCAAATTTTGGCATGCATTGAGATGAATTCCTAGAAGAGCAGAATTGCTGTGTCGAAGGGCGTTTGGCAGCCTGCTCTTTAAGACTCAAGAACTTCATCCAATAGAGCAGTTCATTTAGCTGCTGGGCCGGGTGTGTTTTATGACTTAGCATCCCTTGGAGTCAGAAGGCAACACATATCAAAGCCAAATTCAGATACTGTGATGCTGAACTGACCTCGTCACTGTAGCAGCATAGGCATGCCTGAAAATATTTCCTGCAGATGTCCTGAAACTTCCTTGGCACTTACCTTCAGTCCTATCTGTTAATGGACCTGAGAACATTCCTTCTGTTCATTCTACCCTTTAGCAGCCATTCATCATAGGACACCCTGACAGGGAATGGCCCAGGGCATTATGACAGATAAATGTACTTAACGAATGACACATTTCAAAGAACCCCAAATTGATTTGGTCCAGCCTTACTGTGTCACTGGACAGATAGTCATTCTGGTTAGTGACAGCATTGATGGCTGCCTGTGGTGTGGGTTTGCTCATGGGTGCCATTTCGAAGGGAGGGCCTGCCAGGGTGAGCTGTACTTGGTGCAAACGGAGGAGGATGTGTGGAGGCTTGGGAAGCAGAGAACAAAAAGAGAACTCCCAGAAAATGTGACCACCCATTTCTTTCCTGCCTCCACTCTGTGCCTCAAGGAAGCATGGCTGGAATCAAGGGGATGTGTTCTTGCCGACTTTTTGATTCCTCTCTGTAGGCCAAAGGTCTCTTCTTGGGCAAAAGGAAGAAACTGGGGCAGCTGGAGAGATCCTAATAGCTGAGCTGGTCTCCCTTTTCCTCTTTCTTTGTAGGTGAGCTAAAGGCCAGAGAACAAACAGATGATAAAAGAGCAAGAACTCCTTGAAAAAGGACAAGCAGAATGCATCTTAGGGGCTGCAGAAAGAAACTAAAGGAGACGGCCAGGTTCTGCAGCACCTTAAACCTGCTTAAGCTGAGCAAAAAGGCAGAATGATTGAATTAAATTGTCAGAAGGAAACTTTTTTTGAGGAGCAGGGGTTGGATAATAACTATACTTTCCCCAAGGTATATAGCACATGGCATGACCCCAAATGTGCCTGTTCAATGAGTGAATGATGGTGACAGAAGGACTCGCAAGTTCAGTACTGCTCTCAGCTCCATCACTTGTTATCTCTGTGGCCTTGGGCAGGTCCCTTACATACTCTGAATCTGTTTTCTTAACTTTAAAATGGGACTAATAGTACCTTCTTACAGGGTGGTTGAGAGGCTTAAGATAATATGTGTAGGCACTCCATGTTTAGAAGCTATTATTAAGCAATTATTGTTTTATTTTAATATCACTTAAAACAGGAGTTGTCCAGCTTTTGGAATATGAGCATCCCTTTATAATGTTACCATAATTTGCAGATAACCTTCAAGCTAATACATGCATTATTTATGGAGAAGATACATAATGGCCAAAAGCCATAAAAAATCAGCAACATTTTAGAATGAGTTTTATTTGATTAATCTCAACAGCATCTAGACACATAAGCAGTGCGATGAAAACGAGACATTTATTCCCTCTGCAGACAAGGCTCACCTAAATTATTATTATTATTTTTATTTTTATTTTGTCAATATACAATGTAGTTAGTTATTGTGTCCCATCACCGAAACCTCCCTCCCTCCTCCCTCTCCTCCTCCCACCCAGATGTGTCCCCTCCATTTTCTTGTTGTAAGAACTTCAAGAAAAAAAGTTGTGGTTGTTAAATCTTCCTCTCCCCCCGCCCCCGGTTTTTTTTTGTTGTTGTTGATGTTGCTGTTTGTTTGTTTTTTTTGTGTGTGTGTGTGAGAGTGTGTGTGTGTGTATGTGTGTGTGTGTGTGTATGTATGTGAATTGATTCATTCACCTTGAGCTCCCTCCAATAAG